GAAGCTGACCAGCTACTTGTAACTAGCAGTGTCCTCTGCCCAAAATAGGCTTGTGCGTTCTGTGAAAACTTCTCCACTTATGCTGAAGGAAAACTTGCAGACTTTCTAAACTGGATCCACAGCATTATTTCTGTGGGTTTATACGAAGTATGACTGTCTGCATCCAACCCTTCAAGGTCATTAGTGGAGTCTTGTGCCTAATATTGTGACCATTGTGCTATGCTATCTTGTATCAAACAACAAGTGGAAATTCATAGTGAAAATTGTCTTCAGAAAGACAAAACAGATCTGCTTTGCTCTGGTCCTCAGGAGGCTAATCTTGTTGTAAACCATCCCAAGATGCCAGTAAAAGGATGATCTATAAAAGCTTTAAATAAATAATTAAAACAACTTTGTTCAACCACTCTTTAGCTGCAAAATGTTAGCCATGTTGAGAATGGGCAGCACTGCTGTGCCATTGGCATGCTTTGGAGCCTGCTTGTTTTAATACAATAAAAAACAAAATAAGGTCAGTGTTTATCTAGTTCGCTACTCTGAGGGCTCTTTTGAGGCCCAAGGTAGGATATACATATCAACACAGAAAGGACTGCAAGCCACAGCTCTAAACTTCAACATCTGTGTCAAATTTACTTGGTAAACCATGCTCAGCTCTACTTTACACACAAAAGGTACTGTGCAGCAAACATAGCTGTGCAGATGGATTTATTTGTATTGTTGGGACCATCCTGCCCAGAAAGGGTAGGCCTTGAGCCAACTAGCAGCTTCTGGGATAAACTGGAAGTCCCTCTGTGGAAAAAACCTCAATCTTAAGAGTCAGAAAAGTGCCAGTTATGTTGCATAACTTCCCTCATTTAATGAGGTTGAAAGATAGGGCTGGGCTGCCTTTAAGATAAGCTTTTAACTGCGAAAGAAAATCATGTACGAAGAGATTATAAATTGAAGATAAACATTTTCACCTACACATTTGACCATGGTTAAAGGAAGGCCAGATCCTGAAGATGAAACTCAAATACTTTGGCCACCTAATGAGAAGGAAGG